TGATTGCAGTGGCGCAGAGTGACCTGTCTTCGCTGGTAGGGCTCTCCCCAACCCTAAGGTAGCGCACTTTGAGTCACTGCAACCTACATGTTAATAATAATAAGAAGGGTAGTCTCACAATAATCTAATGCCGATATTGATCCCTATTACAAGTGGGTTTTTTTTTATGTTAAACAAACTATTTTAAGTTCTAGGAAACAGCCAACTGCAAGTATTTTATATGTACCAATCGAATTGATTTATATTTTGTACAAGTATTTTATATGTATTAATGAACATAAATGTAATTGTGATATGTGACACTTAAATAAACAAATTGAACTTGAACTTGAACTGCACAGTCTATCTTTATATAAATAGTTATATCTGATTGATATTGAACTGCACAGTCTATCTTTATATAAATAGTTATATCTGATTAATATTGAACTGCACAGTCTACTTTTTTACAAATAGTTGTATCTAATTGGTATTGAACTGCGCAGTCTACATTTATACAGATATCTATATTTAATTGATATTGAACTGCGCAGTCTACATTTTTACAGATAGCAATATATAATTGATGTTGAACTGCGCAGTCTACCTTTACAAAGATAGTTTTATCTGATTGATATAGAACTGCGCAGTCTACCTTTTTATAGAGAGTTATATTTGATTGCTTTTGAAATGCACAGTTTACCTTTATATAGAGAGTTATGTTTGATTGCTTTTGAAAAGCACAGTTTACCTTGATATAGAGATTTATGTCTGATTGTTTTTGAACTGCAAAGTAAACCTTTATATAAATAGTTATATCTGATTGCTGTTGAACTGCGCAGTCTACCTTTATACAGATAGTTATATCTGATTGCTGTTGAACTGCATAGTCTACCTTTATATAAATATTTATATAAACTTTATTTATTGAGGATTACAAACCTGATTTAACCAAAGGCTAATATCCCTCAGGGTCCTCTATATTAATAAGATGTGCTAGTTTTACATAGTATTTCTTAAAACATAGTAAGATAACTTCAAGATAAATGACATCTAAAATATAAGTTATGAGATTGCTGAAAATATTACATGCAATTATAAGGTACAATACATCAAATATCACAGAAAGCATAAAAATGCTTTGAAGGTCTGATAATAGTTAAATGGCCGGAGCCTTACATACATTCATGCTAATATAGAAAAGTATAAAAATTGCCAGGATATACGCCTATATAGCATAAATTAAAAACTGTTTTCTTGATCTAAAAGTAGTGCTTTATTGCTCTATGCTTAAAAGTGTTAAAAGATGGTGATGACCTTACATAATTCACCCATTACTGTTGTCCACTCGATCCACCCTTTCTCGCTGACTGACTCCAATTTCTATCAAAGAGAGCATATAGATTAGTGTTTATTTTTCTCAATGTTATGTTTGCCATTAATATAATTGGATTGGCAATGAGTTTAAAGTTTAGTAAAGATAACAAGATTTCAACAAAGGGAGACAACTCTTGTGTAACTCTAAAGTTCATTAAAGATGNAAGTTTAGTAAAGATAACAAGATTTCCACAAAGCGAGACAACTCTTGTGTAACTCTAAAGTTCATTAAAGATGCATGCATCAAAGATAGATATTAAAACATTGCAATGCGTGTATAGGACCGTGTCCGATATGTGATATACAGGTGTCGATTTATATCGTCAAAAAAAACACCTTGAAAACATAAATTTTAAAATTGAGCAATAGAAACTTAATAATTGTCATTATCAAACAGTCACAAATCAAGAAACACAGGAAATACACTTGAATTTATATTTATTTGGTTTGGCAAGTTATTGTCGTGGTATACAAAATAATATGGAGTGACCAGTGGGAACACTGAATCACCCAAAAAACTTTATAGCAAACTTGAAAATTGAGGTGTGTCAATTTACCTCTGAGCTGAGCTAGAAAAAGGTGATCGCGAATTTATGCCACATGCTAGGCATACAAACCAGACATAGAACAGTCTCTTGACACTATTTCCGCAAGCTTGACCGAAGGAATCAGCTCAAGTCCAATACCACGACGATCAGTGTTCAAAACAGCAACTGTAATTAGAAATAAAACTGGCGCCAGAAAAAGTACCTGGATTGGGAAGGGAGGGTGGGTAACTTGAAAATTGCAGCCTCAAAATATTTGTCGTCCTCGCTTTCTTCAAACAGTGATTAAAAGGAAGTACCACGATGGTGTCTAATTTGAAATAAAATTAACGGAAGACGGACCGCAATGTCCGGATTAGCGTTTTTATATACGACAGTTATAAAACATGCAAAATTATAACAGGCTTGAATTTTTGACATTAAGATAAATTGCTTGAAAATGAAATTTTAAAACTTATAAAATTTGTTAAAATTTGCTTACATACATGAACATCAGAAGAAAAACATATTTACAAATTAAAAATGCATGAAAATGAAATTTTAAAACTTATTATCAAATAGTCACAAATCAAGAAACACAGGAAATACACTTGAATTTATATTTATTTGGTTTGGCAAGTTATTGTCGTGGTATACAAAATAATTTGGAGTGACCAGTGGGAACACTGAATCACACAAAAAACTTTATAGCAAACTTGAAAATTGAGGTGTGTCAATTTACCTCTGAGCTGAGCTAGAAAAAGGTGATCGCAAATTTATACCAAAAGCTAGATTACTAATCTAGCTCCGCCACCGAAAATATAATCTTGGTGGAGGAAATGCGAGAGAACCTGTTTCAGTCCCTCTTGTAATTGATTTTCAAGCCAATAAAATTCAGTAAACCGCTCGGCAAACTAAGTATATAACCATGGAGACTGACAATGATTTATATATAATTTTGGCCACAACAATAAATGCCCCCAAATACAATAAGTGCAGAAGGACCCATACATGAAAAACACAGCAATTATTAAACTTGATTGTCCAAAGTTGTTACCGACCTTTCCAGTAGGTTTGTTATATGGCAACTACAATCAAGCATCCTTACATATAAAACTACATTTTTTGTATGGGTCCAGCTGCTATATAATTGCATATTTTCGGGTCGGGGCGGCTACTACAGCTTATGGTAATTCAGTAACAGAGGATAAGCTTAAGGCATATGGGCGTTGGTCGTCTGAAGCTTTTCGCACATACATTCGTATACCAAAACATATATTGGATTAAGCAGTTTTCTTAGTAAATAATTCATGATAGATATTAACAATTTTATCTACCATGGCTAAGAAGTCTCAAGTTTTCAGATTCACCACTGAGAAACCATGCTCTGCTTGAGTAACCACTAATTCCCCAACCCTGAAAAAAACATAAAAGGCAAGAGAATAAACCAGACTAAATAGACTCACCTCATACAACGTTTTACATACTCTTGGCAGTGATAGTAACACCCTGGCAAGTACTGAAGGAGTAATTGGCAAGCGAACATCTTTAGAACGCCTTGTCCTATTCAAACCTTGCAATAACTTTGAAACAAAAAGTTCTGTGGTGGGTCCAACAATCCAGATATCCTACATGTATAGGCAATGGCGGACACATATGCCCGAATGGAACTAACTGCAAAACCTATTAGCGATAAATAGGACACAAAATTAATCACATCTGATACGTTGATACCATATTCAGCCCTAAAACCTTCAAACTTCTGCACACTTGCATCATACAACTTTCTGGTGCTGGCTGACAGGGAACTGTCAAGCAGCCTCACACTTTCATTTTGAAGATCAGCTCTTGAAAACTTTCTGGAATTGGAGATGGGTCCCTGTCTGCTTCTGGAGCCAACTGACGGAATCGCTGCCACTGTCGACGAGAAATGCTATCAGCTATACCATTCTCGACACCTGCTACATGCCGAGCTTTAAAATTTATATTGTTCAACATAGCATACAAAACTAACGGCCGCACTAACTGCATGATTCGAGTGGATTTTGATGACTTTTTATTCAAGACTGACACCAGTGCTAAATTATCTGTGAACAATACTATACGCTTATCCTTGAATGAAGTTGACCACAAATGAAAAGCCAAAACTATGGGGGCAAGTTCCAAGAATGTGATGTCCTTCATGATCTCTGTACCTAACCAATGTTCTGGCCATGATAAAAAGGCCCAATGGGGATGGAGGTAGGCTGTTCCACCTTTTGACCCATCGCCACCAGCACTATCCGTGTACAAAGCTAGATCTGGAGATTCAACCCAATCAAGTTCATCAAACCTACAAGTTCCATTAAACAAGTCCAGAAACTTAAGCCAATCTAAAAGGTCCTCCTTAATTTCCTTATTTAACCTAATCAAATAAAAGGATTTTTTAATACCAATCATAGCATCATACATTCGCCGTATGAATGCCCTAGCTGAGGGGATAGCTCTGGCACAAAAAATAATCTTTCCTGCAACTGATTCCAGCTCATGCAGAGAAATATTTTTCTTCCCAAGCATACGAGTAATTAAAACCTTTAATTCTAACAGCTTATCCTGCGGGATTCGAACCACCATCTCAATGGTGTCAATCTCCAAGCCCAAAAATTCTAAAATATAAGTAGGCCCAACTGTTTTATCACCTGCAATGGGTACCCCGAGCACTTTACAAATTTCCGAAAAGCCCGACATGAGAAACACACAATCATTTGTACCATGAGCACCAACAAATATAAAATCATCCAAATAATGATCTAAGGACTCCAAACCTGTTTGATCAATAACTATCCACTGAAGAGCTGTAGAAAGATTTTCAAACAAAGCACATGATACACTACAACCCATAGGTAATGTTTTGTAATAAAATGATAACCCTGCCACCTTGAAACCAAGCAACTCAAAATCCGACGGCTGTACTGGAAGAAGCCGGAAAGCTGATTTGATATCCATCTTTGCTATTAAAGACCCTTTACCTAAGTTTGCAATATTTTCTAACATTTTATCAAAGGGAGAATAATGAACTGTACAAAACTCCCTGTCAATAAAATCATTAACACTACCATTAGACGGGTAAGACAAATGTTGGATAAGACGCATGGATCCATCTTTCTTTGGACATAAGCCAGCTGGCGACAATCTTAGCCGTATTGGTGCTAACAGGAAGGGCCCTGCAATCCTACCTAATATAACCTCTTTTAACACAATCTTCAAGGCCAACAATTCATTACCCAAGATGGATTTTAAGTTTTTACACATGGTTGGCCCCCTAGGGCCAGCATAATTCAACGAGAATCCTTTTGAAAAACCCTTTAACAAAACCTCCCTGTCAACTACATTTGGGTAATTGCTTAAGGCATATTCCAACATCTCAAGTCTTATTGGTGACTGTCCGAGAGACAGTGGCTTGGCCCACCTGGCCCGACTTAGCCAGACTGGTGGTACTGCCTCCCGTATTTCCCGATCTATGAGCTCCTGTGAACCTAGAGGTAGAATAACACCTTATTTAGGGTGATTACCTGAACATTCAATGCAAAAGTGCCCAAATTTACAAAACGACCTTTTACAACTACCTGTGTTGTTGAACTCGTAACACTTCGGTCCAGATTTCATAGTGGCCCTCTGCACATTTACCTTAGGACCCTGCACCTTATTACCAGAATACATGTACATTAACCATAGTTCCTGGTCCAACACCCCCAGTCTATACTTTGGTTTGCTTCCTTCTTAAGCCTTAACTGCACGTCATAATCGTACCAAGTTAAACCACCAACTCTCTTTGNAAGCCTAAACTGCACGTCATAATCGTACCAAGTTAAACCACCAACTCTCTTTGCCCCCAGCCGCACACTATGCATATACTTCAACATCCCTTGTGTTGCTTCTGGGTTAGCCAATACATAAACCGACATATATTTCAAGAATGCATCAGTCCACATATCCAAATCAGTTATTTTGACTCGACTTTTCTTCTCTTTTATTAAAATAGCCCCATCAACCACACAAAACTGTTTATCCTCTGAATTAACCTCCCCTGGCTTTCTAAGCAGGTGACTTAAGTCAACATAATCACCCTTCATAATTTTAGCCCTTACTGCCACATCTATACCCCAATCCAACCTATCTGTGTAACTCATCACTTGCCCAACAGAGTGTGTTAATACAGATGTCACTAAACCTGACTCAGTACCTTGTGCTACCTGCTGCATAATTATGGGGGTGATTCTCTCGATGAGAGACTCGACCATGGCCGTTGAAGGCTCCTGTAGATTGCCCGGGATGACAGCAGGTTCCATCTGGGCCTGGGGCTGTACCACCGGAGGTTGAGGCTGGACGGGAGGCACAACCGGAATCTGTTGGGCATTCCTTGTGTAGGGCAACCCACGACCCCTGGCTTTTCCCCTTGCTCGGCCTTGTCTCGGCATGGCTATGACTCAATAAATGGAAATAATTGTTAATTTTTTTATTTTATTTTTTTGTTTTTTATTTCTCTATGCAGTGTATCGACATATATATTTCATTCATTAATACATTATTATTTTTCAAACTTAATTATCATTAATTTATTCTAATTCAAATTTGATTTTAACTGCCAGCTTTTTTGCTACTCAAATACTCATACGTTGCAAATTTCCCATTCAAAATTCTTAATGCTATGGCAGGGATACCCCGATATTAATACTCAACATATAGCACCTGATTAAAATTCAAATACGCATTTCGAGTAGTTCGTGACAAATACCACAGTATTACCATATCTCCGTAGAGCCATCAGTTATAGTATCGCTACGATAATGTCACTTTGACTCGATCAACCAAACCGTTAACACAATTATCATAGCTTGCGAAAGGATCAAAAAGTTCAAGTATGAATAATACGACATTCGGCAGTATCGGAAACAATATGGCTGCCACGAGGTGAGCACATGGCCCTACACCCAAGCACATTCTGTCTCCAAATAAGCTGTAAAAATTCCGGTATGCACACTTAAGCAATACCTAGAGTGTATCTTTCGACTTACCGCCACCTCAATACCTTTAACCTACCACCTTTGGTATCTTTTACTCCTGCTAACTTGAAAATTGCAGCCTCAAAATATTTGTCGTCCTCGCTTTCTTCAAAAACAGTGATTAAAAGGAAGTACCACGGTGGTGTCTAATTTGAAATAAAATTAACGGAAGACGGACCGCAATGTCCGGATTAGCGTTTTTATATACGACAGTTATAAAACATGCAAAATTATAACAGGCTTGAATTTTTGACATTAAGATAAATTGCTTGAAAATGAAATTTTAAAACTTATAAATTTTGTTAAAATTTGCTTACATACATGAACATCAGAAGAAAAACATATTTATAAATTAAAAATGGTTTTTCAGTCATAAATTTACAGGACAAATCGTTCACTTCTTTGTCAATAAAAAATATAAATGCGGTACAGCATTTAAAACTGGCATGTGTGATATACATCGGGAGTTATTTAATCCACATTATATATCAAGTCATGACTATATATATAAATCCTTATTAATATACACATCAAAATAGGAAATATTAGTTTTACATGTCAATTCAGGGGGGTAATGAGGTTGGTTCACAAGTATATGTATAGCATTTAAAGTCAATGTTTCAGCAATTGAACCGCTCGATAATCAGTTACAACCGCTCGATAATCAGTTACAACCGCTCTATAATCAGTTACAACCGCTCGATAATCAGTTACAACCGCTCGATAATCAGTTACAACCGCTCTATAATCAGTTACAACCGCTCGATAATCAGTTACAACCGCTCGATAATCAGTTACAACCGCTCTATAATCAGTTACAACCGCTCGATAATCAGTTACAACCGCTCGATAATCAGTTACAACCGCTCTATAATCAGTTACAACCGCTCGATAACCAGTTACAACCGCTCGATAATCAGTAACAACCGCTCGATAATCAGTTACAACCGCTCGATAATCAGTTACAACCGCTCGATAATCAGTTACAACCGCTCGATAATCAGTTACAACCGCTCAATAATCAATTACAACCGCTCGATAATCAGTTACAACCACTCGATAATCAGTAACAACTATAACAGTTGTCTTACACTTTCTCGCAGTCTAATGATGTAAATTGTTTCAACTAACGAAAAAAGTCATAATAAAATATAATTAAATTATCTTCAATTATCCTAAACAAGCTGCAATAGTAGGTAGGTACAATTGAAGACTAATTAACGAAAGACGGAATTTACTTCCCCTAGCGCCTGTGACCTTTTTCTATAGCTAGCTTGTAATCACATAAAATATAACAGTGACACACAAAGTATAGTACGCTGGCACACAGCTTATTTATGTCTCCATTACAAAACCTGGCCGTGTACAGTTATCAAGGGAGAGAAAATCGGAAGCAGTCACCCCTTACTACAGTGTTACAAAATAGTTCAGTATATTTGTATCACAAGAAATGTTAAAGAAATTATCAACAGATTCCATTTCACTTACCTGTGGAAAAGCATTTGTTTTCAATTGGATAATTCTACATCCTACAAGATAGAGGTGACTACTCCCCTGTCAATCTCTGTAGTAAGGTTATATAGGTTACTCTAGTATAGTTTGTAAATATACCACCTTATCATATAAGTCATTTCTCTGTTCAGTGTTCTTCCATTAGCCATAACTGTGGCATTTCCATCCTATTTTGGGTTATTGACACCAATCTGTTGCATGTTGGACAGGTGATGATCCCCATCTGAGACGGTGTCATGACAATCAGACGGAAAGACGCTTTCAAAGGAAATGTATAGATTCGCTGATGTATATGGTAGTTTGTATTTTTTTCACTGACCCTTAATTCGTTTATTGAGAATATGTATGATGGACAAAATATTAACAAGGAACACTTTCCCTTGGGACTCTAGTTAATGAACAAATAGTCCTTGTCCTTGTCTACGCACGCATGCATGTCTGTATGCAATGGCTATTTTGTATGTGATCAGTATTTTGGACTGATCATTTCCATCAGTTTCAATATATGGCTAGGCTTACAGGTGTGAAGGGCAAATAAATAAACAAATGTTGAAACTGCTGTACCTGTACAACGATGTGACGAAATTGCATATTTTGTATGTCACTCGACCCGGGACGTTACGCCTATCGATGGGTAGCGTATACACAACTACATCTGATAGGTTACAAGTAGGGTGTAGATATAACCTCCTCCCCTGTTATGTCAGTATCGGGTCATGCAAATGACTCAGCTGATGTCCCCATCGTCTCTGTTCATCTTCTGAGTTTTCCTGATTTTTCGTTTTTGTGTGTTGTTCCCTTTCGACTATCTTGGCATTTGTATGTTTTGAAGCAACATCAAAAGGACGCAGAGAAAATAAGCAACATCACTCGTAATACATCCGCCACCCAGTACAATAAATCGGGATTAACAGATCACGCTAACACCCAAAATCACGTCGTCGATTGGGACAATGCCAATATAGTTGAAAGGGAACAACACACAAAAACGAAACAAATCCAAGTAGCAATCAAAATGAGGAAACTTAGAACATGAACAGAGACGAGAGGGGACACCAACTGGGTCATCTGCATGACCCAATCCTGACATAAAGGAGAGGGGGCTAGATCTACACCCTACATGTAACCTATCTGATGTAGTGTGTATACGATCCCTATCGTTAGGCGAAACATGCCGGGTCGAGTGACATAAAAATATACAATTTCGTCACATCGTTGTCCGGGTAAAAAATTAAAACCGCTCAATCAGCCATAGCTTGACAAAGGGACCAGTCGGTCTTGAAACGTTGCAACACGTTTAATACGTAAATTCTTTGTGTAGAAAGTAAAACTTTGATATCACAAATTTCCAAACTGAGGAATCTTATTAACAATAACATCAACAGTATTATATATTTATTTTTTAACAATCTTGTTCCAAAGGAATTGAAGGTAAAAAAAGGTTTATATCATGTGCCAGTCAAAACCATATCATCAACCCGATACGCCGAGCCGATGATACAAACTGTGACAAACATACATTATAACAAACTACGTCATAATACAAAATTAGCTATAAATAGTGAGTTCATCTAAACTATTTCACAGTTATCTAGCTTCATCGCAAACTGAATATCAAACTAGAATAATGGATGACAGAGCCACCTCCAAACTTCTGTTCAGGGCTATAATGAAGGGCCAGTATAAACCAGTGAAGATTATTGTGGACGGAGGAGCTGATATAGACACCGTCAACAAAAATGGACAAACTCCTCTGATGAAGGCTTATTTGGAATTGGACACGTCTTCCACGCCAACCATCGACACATCGTCTGCCAGGTATAAGATCTTCCTATATTTACTCAAACATGGCGCGGATCCTACCATTGAAGATAGGCAGGGACGAACTGTAGCCAAAATGGGACTATCTACTATTTTTAATGCATCGAAAAGTGTTGAAAAATTGAACTGTATATGCAATATGACACAAGAAAATATTACAGCAAAATCCGACTTCTCATCGTTTACAAAAGCAAACAATGCATGCAAAACGTGCAAACCATCTCCGCATGATCACTCACAAGTTGAGCAATGTCCCACCTCAGACTTTTTGGCTATTCCAGACGGTCCAGTGAATATTGACTTTAGAAAAAGAGTGAACACTGATGGCCTAACGATTCCTTCTAATAACCACAATGAAATGCTAAGTGTGGTATCCTACCGGGGCCGGAGCAACACGGACGAGAGAATCATAACAGGCAACAGACAACTCGTTCCGATGATCTCCACCAGGTTGTGTAAAACAGATGCTGCGAATACTAAGGAGAAACAAGTGGGATGCGAGGACCGTGATTATTACCCGGAACGTGTACCAGCTGTGTTGCTTAACGATATCAACATTTCATTGTTTGACTAATTTAACATTTTGCCTTAAAATATAGGACATTGATGCTGACATATAGAGACACCTATAATAACGCTTATATAGTGTTTTGTGAAATATTTCTTGAAATGGCGTGTTGCATTAAGGAATATCGGCGAAAATTGGGTATCCTATAATAAACTAACAGTAACAGTACGTATTTAGATAATGTCTAACCGTAATTTATATGAACAAAAGTATATGCATATACATTTTTAGTTCAAATAAAAACTAGAAATTTTGAAACTTTAATTGTTTTACCTGTTTATTTTGTTTTGAGCTATTTGAATCATAGGGTGATAATTTAATAATATATGCTAGCTAAATACAATAATATCTGATCTATATATAAAACAATCATACACTTAAGGGTACACGGCATACAATATTTTAAGCGGCACATATTAAAGGAATTATCAAAATTACTTTGGAGTTATAAGGTATATGTCAATAAAACATTACTAGTCCTCGAAAAAATAGCCCAAAATATATTTGCCATTCGTTACAATTAAATCTATTAAGAACATCAAACTCTTTCTTAACACACAATTAACGATTTGTTTATACTTTTAACAATTAACAGAGATGTTTAATACTAGTCCGTGTATATGGTTTGCTTTTTAGGTTTTAAAGCTGGGTTTACTGATACCCAACAAATATATGGATCAGCAGATTTGTGAATGTCTACTGTCCATGTTGCACGCTTTTACCTTTATAAGACGTTTTGCTCTTTTCTTTATTTCATTTTAATTCATAGATCTATGTCTGATATAGAAGGAAGTAATAATTCTAACCATACCTTTAAAGCATATTTTGAACGACCTACTAAAATCGTTAAATTCCAATCATTTAGTTCAAATCAGTATGTTACAGGAAACGGGTAACGTTTTGGCACACATTAACTATCGATGTTGTGTGTTTGTGTGTGTATGGGGGGCGTCTGCATTCTCCAGCCATCTCTTGGACCTTTTGTACTTGTATGCTTTCTACAAATAAAAATTATTGACTCATCAAGTTTAACATTAACATAATTACGCTTTGCAATGAACGCCACAGTTACGTTACTAGACTGTATTGAAAAAGGGAAAATATATATTTTGTCGTTATTGAAAGGACTAGCATATATGATAAAATAGGAGCAAAAGCCTGTAAGTGTTTCCTTCAATGTGTTCGTTTAATGGCAAAGCGTCGGTTTAAGAACAATATAAGTGACGATATGGGTGGTTGTATAGCGCAGTGGATATATCAATGGCCTTTCACCAAGACGGCCGGGTTCGATTTCCCGATCGGACGTAAAACGGTATGGGATCACCTGTCCAACCATAAGAGTTTTCTCTGAGTACTCC